GCGATTCCAAGTCTCTAGTTGTTCTTCCAAAAGCAAGCATCTGCGTCAGCATCGAAGACCGAAAAATGGAGTTGGGCAGGTCAAGCGTCGTGATAGCGCGTCTTCCGGCGCGCCTGCTAGACCGAGCGCCACAGCCAAGGGGTGAGAGCCACCGCCTCATCCATCCATCATTCCCGGGATCATCGCTCAGAGGGGCATTCGCGACTTTGGCGATTGCAACCACCATGACTTGATTATTTTCACTCGAAGACTTCGTCTAATTCAATGCCCTAAAATACCCTCAACCAAACCTCAACTCACAAGTTTGGCGGTCGAAGCCCTATCGCCGCGATGCCGCTCATCACCCCCTCACGGCTCGCCATCATCATCGTCTCCTTTTCGCTCTTGACTTTCTTCTGGACTTTCGGTCTGCCGCAACAGACGCCCCAGCCGACGATACCCGTCATCGACCATTACGACCACAAGAATGTGCATACCGAGCCGATAATACCGCCGCCCGTCATCGAGACTCCGCACGCGACATCCACGCCGATAGCACATGGAGATCATCCGAAGGAGACAGATGATCATAGATGGGACGATAAGGGAGCGCAGGGTGGAAAGGGAAAGACAACACCGTCCGCGCCTACCGAGACAGGCGTCGCGGAGTATGAGGAAGATGGCGGAAGATGGGAGGATAAAGAAAAGTTGAAGGGTGGTGATAAGCCCAAGAGCATGTTGGCTTCAGGCGCAATGGCTGCACCTACAACACTAGCCACCGAGGCGATACCTGCGTCGAAGAGTCCGATTGCGGCTAAGCCGGACGTTGCGCCTACAAAGCCCGCCGAAGCCGCCATTCCTACACACGCAGTCGAGAAGTTCTGCAACGACGCCGACGGAGCGAAAGACGTCATGGTCGTCCTCAAGACATCGAAAGCCGAAATCGAGAAGCTCAACAGCCACCTCAGCAATCTGCTCGCCTGCGTTCCCACCTTCGCCATCTTCAGCGACCACGCCGGCGAGTTCCAAGGGCACAAAGTACACGATGCGCTCGATTCGATAAGCGGCGAGACCAAGTTCAAGCACAAAGAATTTCAGGAATACCAGCTCATGCATGCTGATGCAGAGCACAAGCCAGACCTGAAGAAGCTGGAGGAGCTGGAAAAGTGGAAGTTCTTGCCCATGGTGTACAAGGCGTACCACATGAACCCCAGTGCCAAGTTCTTTGTCTTCATCGAAGCCGACACGAGTCTGAGCTGGACGAACCTGTTACAATGGCTGAACAGGCTGGACTACCGGATACCGTACTACAGCGGAGCTCCCTACTACATCGCAGGTACACAGGTAGCGCAACGCGGAGCAGGCATCATGATGTCCCAGGGCGCACTACGCCGGTACTCCAAATCTTACGATGAGCTCTATACAACCAAGTGGGAACCGGACAACGGCGAGCAATGCTGCGGCGACTTGATGCTAGCGAAGGCGCTGGGCGACGCACATGTGGAATTCTACGCTTCTTGGCCACTTCTCCAGAGCGAACAGCCAAGTACACTTGACTACACCAGGAAGCACTGGTGTGCTCCTGCCGTGTCATGGAATCACCTTGGCGGTGACCAACTCACGAGGCAGTGGGATATTGAGAAGAAATGGACCACAGCAAATGGCTGGAAGAAGCCATATTTGTACCGCGACGCCTATCACGACTCAGTGGAACCGCACATCGAAACGCAAAAGGTGGGCTGGGACAACCTCAGCCAGGACACGAAGATCGTCGCACCAGAAGGACGTCGGCAAAAGCTCAAAGACGACGCTGCGAAGAAGGAGAAGGAGAAGGAGGAGCAAGACACCGAGAAGAAGGAGAAGGAGAAGGGAGAGCAAGACACCGCCAAGAAGGAGGAACCCCCGAAAGAAGAAGACAAGACCCAGCAAGACGACAAGAAAGAGCCCGCAAAACTCAAACTAGACACCGCCCCACCCCCAGACTCCCGCGTCTTCCAAGAAGCCGGTGCCCTCCCCACCTCGAACAGCATCTCCAAACGCGAAAACAAGAAAGACGATAAGAAAGGCAAGGACATGAAGGAAGACAAGAAAGAACCGCCAAACTGGGACAAGCTCGCAGAGAAACACCCCGATGCAGCAGACAGCTCCGAGCGCTGCCAGGCCGTTTGCTCGGAAGTAGAAGACTGTCTGCAATGGCGGTACACGGCCAAGGGGGAGGGAGAGTGCCATCTCAGCAAGGTTATTAGGTTGGGTGGGAAGGTGGGGGATGAGGAGTGGACGAGTGGGTGGGAGGTTGAGAGGATTAATGGGATTAAGAAGGAGTGGGCGTGTAAGGAGGTTAAGTGGAGGTTTTATCAGTGAGGTGGATGAGATGGGTTGAAGGGATAAGATGCGAGGGATGGGTAGATTTAGGAAAAGAATGGCGTTTTTGGTGTTTGTTTGGGAAGACTGGGAATGGGACTGAGATGAGGGCTTTTGTATAGTGTTGAGCTACTCTCTGTTGAAGACTCGGAAGCTTTGGAAGACGCGAAGTGGTTGTATATACCCTTTTTTGTTAATGTACATGGTTATGGTATACTGCGTATCACGAGAATGTGGATGACCACGACAAATGTCTTTGAGCTCGAGGACCTGAGTGAAGGTGGTACCACACACATGAAGTGGGTCTGGTTTTCCACAACCACGGCTGTGTTCTTTCGCGACCACGTCACGCATGGATAGCTGCCAAACATTTCGTTCACCATATATATGTCGCCGCGTATGGGATTCACTTTTCGCTTTTCTCTATCACAAACTGTATCAAACGGCGCTACTTTCACTCTTCAACAACGACAACTTATTCGCTCATGAGAATACATTCCGCGTCTACCTCCTGATTACAGTCTTCCACCGCTCATCAAGGTACAACTGGCTCCAAGAACTACACCAATCCTAACCAACACTTCAGTCTTTTCGGAAGTAACCAACGATGCTGGCAGCTCGACTCTTCGGTCGATCGCTCATGCGAACATTCCAAGGACGATTTCCTCCTCCCAGGGGCTCAATAATCTTTGCACTAGCATGTTGCTGGGGGCAATGGAAGATGGACAAGGCACGATTGAATAGAAGGAAAGGAAAGACCATGAGCATAATGGGAGGATTGTAGACGCTGCATGGGTGAATCTCGCGGAGGGACAACATCATCATCATATTGTCTTGGAAATAGGAACTGAGAGGAATCTCATCTGAGCCTCCAAAGCTTCCCACGAGGTCTCATTGTGCATATGAGCAGACTGGTGTACCCCACGGTTCGTTCCTTCCTACGCTTGACCTGGAACGGCAGGCGCGATACGCCTTCTTGGCTACTCCCCCTCTGCCGGCATGTTCACTTTATATGCCGTACCATCGTCAATCTCGATCATCACCACCCACAAACTGTATACTTTAAACTCACTTCTCCGCATACCATGGCGTCCAACGCCCTCTCCCAACTCAAAACCCTGCTATCCGCCGCCCCAACCCTCCGCGCTCAACTCAGCAACACCGAGCGCCTCCAACTCAGCGGTCTAGCCGAAGCGCTCAGAAACGAGTTGGAAAGACCAGATGAAGCTATGTTCCGGGTGACGTTTAATGAAGTACGTCTGATAAGTCATAGTAGTCTTTCTGGGTTTGCGGGGTTGTGGTTACTGCATCTGTTCGGCTAGCGCTAACCACGAACGAAATGCATTCAGCCTGGACACTATCTCGCTATTCGACTCGCTTTGCAATGGGGAGTTTTTGAGGCGTTGGGTGATGTTGGTGAGAAGGGCGTGTCGTGTGAGGAGATTGCTGAGGGGGCGGGGGCGGATGCAAGGTTGGTTGGTATGTATGCACTATCGCAAACTATAACAAATGCCCTCAAGATTGGCATGCGGAACTATTTGGAGGGACTGGAAATCTTTGTCTCATGAGGTGATGCTAATTGAGAACTCACAGCACGCTTCCTACGCCATCTAGCAGCAAACGGCACGATCCGCGAAGTCGATCATGATACCTACGCAAGCACTCGCCTCTCAGCTTCTTTGAGGCAGAAGTCTTTCAAAGATGCTATACACTTCATGTAAGACTCAAACTCATGCTCTCACGCACATACATACGTCTTGAGACTCATACTACACCCACAACAGGTTCGACGACTTCTACAACGTAGGCTGGCGCGTCCCCTCGTTCCTCGACTCAATCTCCCACCGCAACCCATCCGATATCAACAACGGCCCATTCCAGCACGCCCATGGCTTCTCTAACAAATCGCTGTACACGTATTTCAACGAAGACGCGGCGATGGGACAACGCTTCGGCGGCATGATTCAGATGTACAACGCTGGCAAGCCATTCTTTTGGGAGGAAGGGTACTATCCATTCCAAGAGCGATTGGTGGAAGGCGGACCTGTGTCTGATGAGGAGGTGCTACTTGTCGATATTGGAGGCGGCGATGCGGGCGATTTGGGTGTGTTGAGAAAAGCGCTTGGAGAAAATGTCAAGGGGCGACTCGTGCTGCAGGAGTTGAAGCATATTGTTGATAGGAGTGAGCAAAATGGGTTCGAAGCGTACGTTGGGGACTGGAATGAGGTTCAGCCGATCAAAGGTACAATTTTCGTCGTATCACAACCCTACGTATACGCCACTAACGGTTCTTGACAGGTGCGAGAGCCTATATGCTCCAACATATTCTCCATGACTTCAGTAGCGATGAGGCATGCCGGCACATTCTGCGCAATATCGTCCCCGCTATGAAGCCCGGTTACTCCAAGCTTCTCATTAAAGAGCTTCTGATACCTGATCGCAACGCGCCGTGGGCGTTTACGGCTATGGATGTCAATGTCATGCAGTCACTTTCTGGTCAAGAGCGAACTAAGTCGCAGTTTCGCGAATTGCTTGAGTCGGTGGGGCTCAATATTGAGGGCATTTGGAGTCATGAGAATGCGTTAGATGTGGTTATCGAAGCCTCCCTGCCTTAGAATAAGGCCTCTATCTATCTACACCAACTTCTAGTCGGGATTAGATTATTCTTCACTCGGCACAACATACTTCATCCACCCCTCCTCCGTATCCGCTCCCCTCCAAGTCTCCATATCACCCATCACCCCATTCTCATCGACTTTCCAGTCCCCTCTTTCCACCATACCCAGCCAACTCTCCAACACCCCCGCCAGACTTTGCGCCTGGAAGTCCTCAAGCGCCCGTCTTCCAGGCTGATACAACTCCGTATAGCTATCGATCCCGGGCCCGTCCTTCTCACCTCCAAAGTTCGTCCCATCGCCTCTCTTCGCACACCCCTTACCGCCAATAGCGTACGGCAAGACGAATGAGATCCCATCTTCCAGACTTCTGTGATTGGTAGGCAGTAGGTACAAGCCAGAAGGGTAAGTCTTGATACCGCGGTGGTCGAAGAAGTTCGGTACCATGGCGTCATCTGGACTTTGCGGAGTGCAGGATGGGTCTTCCGAGAAGTTGAGATCGGACTGGAAGAGCAAGATGGGTGGCACTTCTTCTTTGTCTTTGGACATGTAGGAGCGAAAGGGTTGGTCCGGAAAGTCTGCGGATGTGATAATGCGGAGACCCGGAGCTATCATCTTGAAGCGAGGCCGGCGGGCGCGGAAGAGGAAGTTGTATGCGAATCGCTGAGGGATGTCTATTGTGTTGCGTATGTTATCTTCTAGCAGGCCGTATACGGGTCGGTTGGCTGCTTGTGATCTACAAGCTGCAGGCATGCGGCTCTCGATTGCTTCAGCAAGCTTTTCCCATACATCGAGGTTGTGCTTGAGCATATTCTCATTGTATGGCAGGAAAACCCAAGGCGCATGTTCCCAATACTCGTCGAATACATCAGGCCATTTTCCACGAAGTTTGCCCCCTTTTTCCGGTGCGGCCTGGATGGTCTCGTTGCGGATCTGAGAGAGCCAGAAGGTAAGTACGGCCTCTAATGGGTACCACGTCTGAGTACTGATATCGTCGGTATCGTATGTAGTGAGACTTAGAGTACAAAGATTGGTCTTCTGGTCATATCTGTCTTTGTGAGCTCGTTGTTCCAGTAGAACAGCAAAATGAAGTCTCTTACATCAACCCACAGATATGCCCTGTGTCAAAATGAGCCGCAGCATACAGGACTAAGCGCCTTCCCTTGTCACCTTCTTCCTCCTCGTCACCTTGATCTTCCTCGATACCTTCCTCTTCCTCATCACCTTCCCCCTCCTCATAACCTTCCTCCTCCTCCTCACCGTTCCCCTCCTTCTCCTGCTCATTGGTATAGTCGTAATCCCACAACATATCTTCAAACTCGAACATGTACTCAGGATGAGACAGGCCCTGGACCCAGTAGAAGAACTCGGGGTAGAATCCTTCTTCTTCTACGCGCGGGATCTGGACTTGCTCGAGGAATTGGACTAGATCGGGTGAGAGATTTGATCGTTCGGCTTCGGCTTCTTCGCCGAATACTTGGAACCAAGATTTGCCGTGCGAAGCAAGTGTATCTGGGGACCGGCCTGAGCCGACCCAGCCATGTCGTACGATTTCGTTGTGAAGAGAGATGCAGCGTTCGACGTTCATGGCTGATGGGACGATGGGGCATTGAGGGAAGGCAAAAAGAGATATCGGAAGCGGGTCACAATACATGTCTGGGCTACCGGCTTTTTTATATGGCAATTGTGATTGATAGCTTCATCGAGAAAGATACTACGCAAGACTACAGCGCATAGACGAAGACCTAGGCTGGAAAGGAACTAGTAACCAAGACGGGCGGTTGGGAAGCGAAGTTCATAGCGAGTACACAGTAGGACTCAAAGATATGCAAGGTGTAATCATAGAGCAGCAGAACCAAGTAACACAAACACACATGCTTTTGCTTCGAACCCCCTCCCCTCGGACGAGTACAATGTCGTCATATTCATCGCACGCGCCTTCTCGCAGTTGATGTCTCTGCCACGCTATCGGATACTGATTAGAAATAATCTTCCACCACCAAGACCTTCTCTCGACGTTGTTCTAGCGACAGCAAAGATCCTTCGAGGAACTTCTCCCGAAACGTGTCGTTTGATTTTAGTAACGAGTCCCACGATTTCAACTCCTCCTGGTCAACGACAGCCGCGTCGCCCCAATTACGAATGATGGTGACGTCTATGGCGCGCGCCAGTGGTCCCTTGTTTTTCCAATCCGTCCATGAGGCCAAACCCATGAAGGGAAACCTGTGGTCCAATCTCTTCACACATTCATACAAGGTTGGTGTGAGGAGTGGCCTTTTAGATGGGCGTGAGAAAGCGGCGAAGAGACGTCTCATAGCATGGTTCTGGAACGCGGGTACATCCAGCTGTCGACCTAAGGACCAAGCCAGTATCGCAGCCTTGACTGTCCACTCCATGGTGTCTTTTTCGTAAGCCTCGCACATGTCCAGGAGCGGAGTCGCGGTGGAACGGTCAAAGTTCTTGACTGGACCATTCAACTCGGTGTATCTTCCATTGTAAAGCCATTGTACGAACAGACCAAGTACCTCGGGACAGTTGCTTTCGGAAAGCAACAACCTCGGTGCGGATCCAGATCCATGCTGGCGGTAGACGAAAGGACGGCCGCCGCTGCGATAGACGGACTCTAGCTTCTCACGGGGCAAGAAGATGGAACCGAGGGGGGCTTCATAGGAACCCAGGTATATCTGAATGACTTCATGTTCTCGTCGTGCGCTGTTAGAAATGGTCAGTGGAGTGTACCTCAAGCAAGAACGTAGCCACCCACAAAGCGACCAATTGCTCTCCCTGTGGGCAGGAATCCAGCGCAGGCGGTTTCATTCCGGTAGCCGACATCTCGGCGTGAGTTCTCTTGGGTGGCATACTGTTGTCTGACTTTGAAGTCGATCCGGTCGTAGTGGTAAGGAAAGATGGTGTTTGAGAAGTGGAATAAGAATGGCAGGCTTAAATATACGAGAACCTAGAGTTTTCTGTCTCTCACCTGCCTGTCGAGCGGTGGCTTTGCGGACAGTGAGTGATATAGATGAGTTCTCAGTCTTACCCAACCGACGAGACGTTAAATTCCAGCATAAGTGATGGCACTCACTCTGCGAGTGGGGTTACTTTACCTCAGAGGTCAGTTTGTTACGTCCTTCGATACTGAGGTGACGTCCACCTTCTTGCAATACCCATGTTGACCGGATACGACACCGACTAAGGTGAGCTTCTGCTCATGGATGCGGCCTTAAACACTGTCTGGAAAGAAGCGAAACAAAGCTATGCTGGGAGCAGCGAGCTTTTTAGAGAGATCGCGTGAGATGCTCTTTGCCGGGCTCACGAAAGGCCTCCAGAGCAGCGTCGGATCTGCAGCTATTGCGCGAAGTTTTGGCTGTTGCGATGGTGATTCGTGGCATGCGCATGATCGGAAGCGATGATAGTACAGCTCATCATGACTGCACACCAATGGTGGTGAAGTCGTCGCAAGCCCGAGCCGTCAGATCGCTCTCCCGCCCCGAACGCGCCAAGACCCAGAACACCTGACCGCGCGCCTTCCCATCCCCCCATCATCACCAACACAAACCTCATCTCTGTACCCTGAATCACATTTCAAAAACAAGCTTCCCTCAACAAACGCATCACCACGTACTCAATTAAATCAACTCCGTCAACCAACGTTTCAAGCCCAGCCTCACCGCCAGTAACGCCGACATCCCAGCCACGTCAAACCAGCATTCCAGCCCCTCGGCCCATGGACGCGACCCAACCACCCACGCGGCGCACGCACCCCGCCACGTCTGTACAAAAGTGCCTGCATGCCACCTGCAGAATGGACTACGACTTGGCTTGCAGATTTCCTCGCTGATATTATTAACTCGATTCCCCTCACACACACTTACCATACACTTGTACTTTGTCACACTTTTCGAGTTCCTGTCTCGTACTACTATCGCTATCCTTGGTCATTCGATTGCTTCCGGGATACCATCACTTGACTACTAAGTGTTGCTTGGACGATAGCTGCGCTTGGACACCACCACGACCGCGTTATACAAAACCATTGATTGTTTGCGCTGAGATTACAGTGCGCATACAATTATTACTCTGTTTACGAAAGGACGATTTACTGACTTTACTACAGAAGACTATCGCATCGCATCACCCGTTTCAGCACCAACTACCACCACCACCACCTCCACCTCAACCACTCCAACCAACGAGACCCCCTCGTTCCACAACCCACAACCGCAACCATGCAGCGCAACATCGTCATCTTCCTCATCATCCTCATCCTCTTCATCCTGATTGCCGCCATCGCATACCTCATCTACTACCTCCAGACGCGCATGGCTGTCGGCGGCACCGCGTCGTCTGTTTCGGATATGACTGAGAACGTGTAAACGACCACGCACTACACAATTGCAACGCATCACAACGATACAACAAAAACAGTTTGGAAGGAAGGGACCGACATTTTACGACGATATGAATACAGTACAACACAAGACAACACATCACCGGAGATAAGGACGATGTGGTTCGCATTTACACCGGCGTTTTAGGCAGTTGCGGTTGCATGGCTATGCGACTTGCGACGCGGAATTTTATTGCACGCGAGAACGAGATAATGCGATTGAAGATGCCATATTAAATTGGCATGGGCCGAATTGGGATACCCGCAACGTTATTACGGAGCCTTATTGTTATGTTTGTATATACAATTGCGCATGGAATGGAACGGAATGAATCACATACTTAAAGTTACTTAAAACCCTTTCTCTTGATTGCCTCGTCTGTGAACTATTTCGACTTGATTTGACTTGAGCCTCTGGTCACAACTTGGGAGAGAGAATGTAGTACAGGAAAAGCGCATACCAACCACAATGGTGTGCTGACATGGACTTGCAAGGCACGCGATCATGTTCACTGGGCGTTGTAGGTCATGTCTTAGGCGTATGTATAAACGTTGTAAATTTTGAACGATACCAGATACACGGTACAAACTGGAACCGCTTGAACGAAGCCTTGATACTCCAGTATTCCCTTTCCGTACCTATCCAAAGAAGTTCTTATAATACATTCGGTGCCTAGACGCCGTACCCAGCAGACACATGTGTACCCTTGTGCAGCTGATCAGGATCCTCCCCAGCCCCCAAGCGCATCAGAGGATTGGAAGATGAAAACTGCTCCGTGGGTATCAACCGGGACACGATTGGTGGTTTGCGCAAAGGTGGAGGAGGTGTGATGGGAGATACGGTCGGCGACTGGAGGAACGATAGAAGAGGTGTGATGGGTGACCATGTCGGGGAACGGAAGTTTTTGGGTAGCATCTTCGCGTATGGCATCGCGGGGGCGAAGTCGAATCGAACTTTACCGGAAGGGAATATCTTGATCGGCAATTTCGGTTTCGGGTACTACTCGACTTAAGCGGATTAGTCGTCGTTCATCACTGTGTCGTTGGTGTCGTCACCGTTTAGAGGCTCGTCCACGTTCTCGGTGAAGACTAGGTGGCTTTCGTAGTATTCGAGCATCTGCGAGATGTTAGCATGGTGAATGGTTTCTAGAAAGCATTCTTTGACGCACCTTTTGTGGACACTTTTGGTAGACGTGCTTGAGAGGGTGCTGTGTCTTTTGCTTATTTGTCCACACCAAGTATGCAAACTTCTCCAGTTGGCCCGTCTTGGGGTCCTTCGTTTGCTCCACCGTGTCGATGTGGTCGACGTCGTGTTCCCATGAGCCTGGCGGTGGGCTCCATTCTACCACTTTCTTCTCTGGCTTGTCTGCCTTCGCGCGCTTCGTAGAGGACGACGGGGTGCCGGACTCGGATTTGATGCCGGCGGTCGATGGTCGTCCCTTCCGCTTCTGGCCCTTGGGTTCTGGTCGGCCTCCGATCTTCTTAAAGTACTCGTTCAGCACATCAATGGCTCCCTCCCTGCGACTGTCAGTCTCAACCTAGTACAGAGCAATGCCGCAACGAACATGTTCTCCTCTGCCTCCCATGTCCGGTCCTTGGGGTCGTCGTAGCCTTCCCATTTCACGTCGAATTGGAGGACGCCCTGGTGTTGTCAGTGTTTGCGCGTGGGAAAGAGGTGGTGTTTGCGCGCACCTTTGTGAATCTGTGGCCGTGAATCGCCTCAACGACGTATCTGTCGCATTGTCAGCACGATGCGATCCATGTACATATGAATTTGCGCGTACTCGTCCTCTCCCACCTCACTGTCATCCTCGTCCTCTTCGTCGTCTATGGGATCCTCCTGCACCGGCTGCTTGCCCTTTCCCTTCCTTGGCTGCGCGGGGACATCTTCGGCGTCCGAGGACCCGTGATCGCTAAGAGCGGCTGCGCAAGTTAGCAGCTGGATATTACGCGTATGGTGATTGTTTGGGCGGGCGGGCGCGACTCACGAGGCATGTCGAAACGCGGTCGCTAGAAATGGAGAATGGATATGACGGAGACGTCAGTCTTCGTGGAGCTTGAGGCGATTCGTACAAGCGCGATTGGAAGGCCGCGATGCGCTGGGGATGGGTGTGGTGGCAGCTCGGGGCAGCAAGCGTCAGGGCAGATCGGAGAGTTGGAGCTGGCGGAAGGCGCGTTCGCGACTCGCGGCCGTGCGCCCT